TCGTTACGCGTCTTTGAATCCTGGAAAGGATGAACATGGTTATTACGTGGTCGGACAACGTTTGAAAAATAACAATCCCATGACCCCTGATGCGTCGTTGCAAAAGTTGCTCCCAACCCACCACCCAGTAACGCGATTGTTCATGGAACGTGCTCATAAGCAATGCGTGCATAGAGGACGGGATTCCACTTTGGCTCGTTTTAGACAGAAGTATTGGATCGCGCAAGGAAGCAAGATCGCGCAGACCGTCAAAAGCAAGTGTCAGTTGTGCAAGCTTCGTGATGCAATATTGGGAGAACAAGAAATGGGACGGTTGCCAGAAGCACGGCTCAAACCAGCACCCCCGTTCACCTACACCATGGTAGATTTATTCGGTCCATATGTTGTTCGCGGTGAAGTCCAGAAACGTACCAGTGGAAAAGCGTATGGGGTCATTTTCACCGACTTGGTGTCCCGAGCGGTTCATATTGAAGCAGTTTACGGTTATGACACAAGCTCGTTTCTCCTGGCGCTCAGCCGATTTGCAAGTATTCGCGGATGGCCTGAATTCATCTACAGTGATCCTGGTTCACAGTTAATCGGAGCAGAAAGAGAGCTTAAAGAAGCTTGGGAGAAGATCGATCGAAGCGAGTTACACAAGAGTGGTCTACAAAATGGTCTAACGTGGAAATTTGGATCAGCAGATAGTCCTTGGCATCAAGGAGCAGTGGAGTCTCTTGTGAAAGCAGCCAAGAGAGCAATTGTCTTTGCGGTTGGTAAACGTCGTCTTACGGTGCCCGAGTTCCTGACGGTGTGCTCTGAAGCTGCGAATCTACTCAACGAAAGGCCAATTGGAACATTGCCTTCCCTCGATTCTGATCTAAACGTGTTTACTCCGAATAGTCTTCTGTTAGGACGCTCGACAGCCAAGAATCCTGGAGGATGGCAACCTTTCACGTACAGCCAGAGTCCGAAGACGAGATACAGCCTGGTGCAAACAGCCGTAGAAGATTTCTGGGAAAAGTGGATACAACTATACGCCCCCTCTCTAGTTGTCCGTCGCAAATGGCATGTCAACACAAGAAATTTACGTCCCGGTGACGTCGTTATGATCGCGGACAAGAATGTGATGCGGGGAGAATACCGTCTCGGAGTTGTTAAAGAAGTCTTTCCTGATCAGGATGGAAAAGTCCGTCGAGTTCTGGTAACGTACAAGAACTTTCGTGTTGGAAACCGTCAGCAAGATTATGGAATCAGTGAAGCTGTTACTGTTTCTCGAAGCGTTCAGCGTTTGGCACTACTCGTACCCGTGGAAACAGAAGACGGAGACAAGGAAGATGTTTGAAAAACGGAAACATGGAACTAGGATTATTACGGACACGTATATTTTACATTCTGTTGTTTTGTTAAAAGCGGTATCGTATCGACCCCATCCTCCCGGTGTGTTGGTATGATTTCAGACGTTATTAGAACTTTCGATACGATAACAGACTTACATAAAGTACTGACTGAGATAAGAGGCGAGCCCGCGGTAAATAGGACGACAACGTGTAAACAACGTTTTGGTTTTTGGTTTTAATACACCACAGTGTTTTACCGCTCAAAAGGCTTAATAATTCGACGATATTTGTAAAGAAATAAAAGTTTATACATTGTTTAAGTACATTATCGTTTTCTTTGAGTAATTATGCTTGCATGCGCGTTGAAATACGTGGGTATATAGCGATACCAATACAGTAGCCTGGTCTCTCGGAAATTCCAAAACGTCTCCTGCCAACTCCAACAACGCCTACGTGCTTAATTCATAAAAATAAACAATGTTTAGCTATACCGGCTAACATGAAATATTTAAATGTAGTGACCAACTTTTTTTTTACATTATTTAGTTTTATTATTATTTATTTGGTCATTACGTCACAAGACCAGGCTACTTATGGAACTCATCTCGTGAAAATGGCCAAAAATGCTCACTGTTATAAATCACATAAATTAGATTGATCAGTGCTTTTTTGGTAATGACTGGGCTTGTTCGTGTAAGAGAACATCGACTGAGCCTTAAAAACCCCACAAAAAGCTTAAACAGATAGTCAAGAAGCATTTTAAAAAGTCACATGATATTTGTTTCATCCCTTCTATTTATTTATTTATCTCTGTGGTTTCTAGAAATGAGATCGATATTCTGGTGCAACATTTAAATTCTATTGAGTTGTCCATCCAATTCATGGTAGAACGTGAGATAAATGGTCATTTAGCTTTTTTTAGATTTGAATGTGCACAGAACTGTCGAAGGGAAATTAGAGACTGATGTTTATCGCAACACACACATACAAATACTTGTCATATGACTCTGATCAACCAGTAAGCCATAAAAGATCCGTAGCAAAAACTTTGCTTCAAAGAGCTGAATCATTGAAGTCAAACAGTGATTCTCAAGCTAATGAGTGTGAATATGTTCTAAATGTTTTAGGGGAAAACAATTACCCAAAGCGTTTTCTTAATGATTGCCTGAGACCACCTGTTTGTAGGAACCAAAATAACTCCGAGGGTGATACCTCTGTTAAGGGTTATGCAATAGTTCCATACATTCAAGGTGTCACAGAACCAATCAAGAGAATCTTAAGTAATTGTAATATTAAGGTTGCCTTAAAACCCTGTTTGACTTTAGGCCATATTTTCGCAAAGCCAAAAGATCCTGTTAAAACAAATCAGAACACTCATGCTATATATTCTATACCATGCGGTGACTGCAAGAAAGAGTATTTGGGTCAGTCTAATTACCACAAACAATCGCTATGGTCAAAAACTTTGCCTAGAAGCGTGGCATATAAACATGAGTCATCATGCTTTGAATAGGGGTGACGGTGCCTATTTGCCAGAGGAATATATGCATGAATATCTTATTGACCGGTGATGTCATCCCTTGGGTATTTAAGAAGCCACGATTGCAATTTTAGATCACCCCTGATGAAGACACTAGACTGGAGTGTCGAAACGTTGGGTCTTGATTACAATTTGACTGGGCTTTGTTAACCATTTATTTAAACCAGAGTAGTGAGCGAAACATATTAATATACCTGGTTGGAGTGAACGAACAAACTTTATAAGAGATAAACACTTTTGAATATTCATCAGGTAAGAATTTTAACTGAAATTCCTTTTGTTTCTGTTGAGAAAACAACGGATTTGTAGCCAAAACGTTGTGCACACCAATGTAGGTTGCTGTAAAATGTCAGACAGGCGGTTTCTTTTGAAATATGACTCTAGTTTGAAATCCTTTACAAGGACCAATTGTGTAAAAATATAATATGTATGCTCAAATTAAATGAATAATCTAATATTTAGGCATTTTAGATTGCTATAAAAGAGTGAAATAAAGTATTTCATCTTTGGTTGTTTGTCAGACGAGAGTAAACACATTGGTGACACTTTGTTGCACATGCAGTTTTCAAAAGATAAACTGCTAAAAATATAGCTTTTATTTCACCAAATAGCAAAGTATTTTGCAGATATTATTAAAAGAACTGAAGTGAAGTAATTCCACGATAAATAAGTGAACAATGAGACCAAAAAAGCAACTAAATTACAATTTTGGAAGTACATAAATCAAATGGCTTCCCACAAAAGAAGCCATTTCAGAGAAGAACAGCATTTTGTAAACTACTGTCCTGACCTATTTTAAACTTTTCTTCAGGTAATCGATGAGCGTACATTATCATCATTATTTTCTTAGAAAATGAGCGTACATTAACTTTATGATGTTCTTTATTGATTTAAAAGTTTTATGGGGATATATGAAACAATAAACAGTTAGCCTGCGAACAGGCTCACTGGGAGAAAGGTGAGCCTGCATGGAACCATGTGTTTTATTCAATCGTCCCCTTTTCACATCTGCTAAATGCGAACCAATCGGTGTCGACTGCGATAAATAAACTGTCAACTGTCACACAGGGTGCGATAATTCACGTACCAACGTACCGGAGGTACGCCAAATTTATGGTCTGGTACTTCTTTGTTTTTAGCCAGGTACCACGTAGGTACGCGGAAATTTACTATTCGCGTACTTACACTATTTCCCTTCTAGCAATAACTAGCCAACCTGCCACCACTGTATGTAGCTGAGGTCAGACAGTTAGCACCCTCGGTAAATCCACTGTAAATGAGCGATGGCATTCGAGCCGGTCACAACGTCGACCCTTTGAGAACTGTTATATTATGTTCTACAAATACCATAATTAAAGATTCATTTGTACAAAATTGCTTTTGGACCAGTATTAAAACTTATATACGTAGGTATAAAAACGCATGACTCGGAAGTAGTCTTAGGTACGTCTTGACAGGTACGCGGCAAAAGTTGTCGGAGTACCAGTCAGGTACGGCCAAAAAGATTGAATTATCGCACCCTGACTGTCACATTGATGCAAGGCGTGTACATTGTACAACGAAGAAATGTAATAATCTATATATAAACAAATACGAAGCATTAAAGGAGCAGTATCACGTTGTGCGCATCCCTGCTGCGCATCGCAAACTTGAAATTCTACACTTGTATTTTTTCAAGTTTGTAAATCCAAGATGGTGGCCGCACCTGGTGCGACGCACAGGGGAAAACGAAGGAATTCAGGCAGAAAGAGAAAATACGAACGTTCTAACAGCGCACAATTAGTTTGGAATCGCCAACATAAACAAATTTATTTATCGTTGACGATTTTTAAATCGTAGAAAGACACGAAAAATCAGGCTGGATACGGTTCTAGTACTGACAGTGAATTTGCTGCTCATTTGTTGTCATTAGAATACCGCAGAAGGTGTGTAGAGTTTCATTATTTTTTATTTTGCTTCAGTAGTTTTGGACCTTTTATAGAGAATATGATTCGCATACCCTTTAGGTCAGATGTTGATGTTTCGAGGCAACGAAAAGAGAGAATGCAAGCAGAGAACGCAAATGCAAATATGGTGTCAAATATGCAAGGCAAGCAGTAAAAATTTACATAAATATTTTATAGTATTCAATGTGTGATGCCATGGGGTTCAAAATAATTAATAAATCGCGATTGATTTATTTAGGCAATGTGGAAACCTCTACCCCATGTAAGCAAGATAATCGTGTGCCTCTGATTTTGCCCTCAGTATCTCCAGTTGTTGACAAAGGACAAAATATCTCTGACTCTATGGAAGTAGATCAACATCACGAGGGAATGAGTGGTAATTTGGAGTGTGATATATCACCCCATAAAAGGTATATATATTTATGTAATAGGTAATTGTTTGTTTATCAAGTAGTAAGCTTTGAAAGTATATATACGGTACTCAATTTTGTTTTCATCCAATTCTAGTATAATCGATCAAACTAATACGTCCACAAAAATGAATGCATCATTGTTCACTGATGATGAAGGTGAAAGCACTGATACTGCAGACAGCTCTGAGCAAGAGTACAGGTATAGTTTAAAAATTTTATATAACAATCAAATTATTTGATTTGCACATGTGTGGGCAACTGAAATACAGTTACTGATACATGACACATGCTTTTAATGTCCCTTTTATTTGTAGTCGACAACATGATCTTTCACAGTCAGCCATTGGAGACCTGAATGCTGATAGAGAACTGGTAGAATATGATTCAGAAGATAGTGGGTAAGATAAATATATAAATGTTTTAGTTAAGCTATTTCATTAACAGTAATTAGAGTATAAAATGTAATCAGTTTGTTGTGTTAGAAACAACACTGTCTGTTTTTTTAGAGCCATCCATTTAAAATCCACCCTTACGGATGAGGTCAGTAAAATTTTAACCCCTAAGAAAAATATCAAAGTGCCGACACAAATCCCCCCTCAGAAATTTGTAAATTTTCCCCTTACCCCTCAGAAAAATTGCAGAGATCAAAGGATACTGACAGGCTTAACCCCTGAGAAACGACTTTTTGAGTCACCCTTCAGAAAAACTCATCCGTATGGGGTTGGGGAGGGGGGGCATTAAATGGAATGGCCCTTAATGCACATTCTCATACTAACTGTGCATGGTACCTGATCTAGCTTAGGTGTTCTAGTCTATTTACATACTTACACTTTTGTTTGTATTGTCATATAATTATATAGTTCAACTGACCCAACAATGGATCTGGACGACAATTCAGATGATGGAATATCTGGAGAGGACTTATTTCTTGTTTATTTATACTGTATACAGTGGTCTGAATTTTAAATATGGGTATTGTATGCTGCCATATGTTATCAGAGTATAGGCCGGTTGTGGTGGCTTATTTGTTTGCCTTTTTTACTGTCCGTATTTACTTTAGCAATGTGTTTTACATATATGCCATTCATGTCAGGCACAGATTTCCTGGGGGGGGAGGGGGGAGGGGAAGTGCGCACCCACAGAAATTATGCAGGGTATATATTTTGATTGATAGTTTCATATTTGATTATTTTTACTACTAAATTTGTAAAATTACCAATATTATGGTCTCAGACTTAACCATGCATGCCTAAAAAACAAATTTCGTTAAACTTTTTCTTTGGCCTTTCCAGGCGTTGCCACCAGGCCCCAGCCAATGCAAGCAGCAACACCCCCCAGATATTTACTGTACCCCCACCCCAAACGAAAATATGAAAATCGATCTCTGCTTCATGTCAAATGACCAAACCATAGGTTTTATACCGTTAAAATCTATAAATATGGCCATTGAAAACTTCTTAACACGGGACAACATGTTTGCCGACACATGTATAGTGTACTGTATGTATAATTTATTCCAATCCCATTAAGCTGTAATTAATGTGCTTAGAATGCAACTTTTAGCTATGTGCATAGAGTATTGTTTGAAATACTGGGTAAATTGATATATCTGTTTTGCAAACAGTTCCATTGAATCTGATGTTGATGATGATGAACAGAAAGATCTGACAACAACAACAACAACAACTAACCCACCACAAGTCCCAGAGGTTACCAGCAGCATAACATATGGGCCTCATCATAAACTGAGTAGGGATGAGGAAATAAACAAGTTCCCACACAAATTTGAGATGGTCAAGGAAAGCAAATTTGTCTGCTCCCTTGTGTTGTTGCTCCAGGTATTCCAAGCTCGCTGTCAAACACCTGGTGGTGTGAATGCACCAACAGTCAGTATTGTTTTGTTTGTGCTTTGTTATTTATTGATTCTGTTTGCTCATCTGGTCACAAACATAGATTTTGCTCTTCGCATGAACTTGGGGAAGGAGTCTATGTGAACAGCTTACAAGCAGCTGCCTCTATCTTGCTGTCAGGAAATAGTTTTGCCGGAATTGAGCGAATGGCAAAGTTTTATGGTTTGGCAATTCTTTCAAAGTCAAAATTTTATCGCTATCAGCGTTTATATATGATTCCCGAGATAAATGAGTGGTGGGCATGGACAAGGCAAGAACTTCTCAAAGAATTTGTTGGGCAAGATAATGTCATTGGTGGTGATGGACAGTATGACTCACCAGGTTTTAATGCCAAAAATCTATGCTATTTTATGGTTGAAGCCAACAGCAACTACATTATTGATATTGAAATAATAGATAAAAGGCATGTTGGTTTAGCATCAACCAACATGGAAAGGGAGGCTGTTAAGCGTGGGTTGGAGAGGTTGACCCAAGATATAAAAGTGGCGGAATTTGTGACAGATGCATCAACTTCTGTTAAAGCACTACTTGGTAACTACAACACATATATAACTTTTGTTTCTCAAATTTGTTTTGTACTATATAGTACAGTATAAATAGTCAAATAATTTCCTGGAATAGACCATTTACAGTATGCATAAACAATCCAAGGTAAGGATGTTTTTGCATCTATCAAGAGTGGTGTTTTCATATCATGACCATCCCTATGTTGGTTGCAAATGATGTTAGGGACAGACCATTAGAAAAGTGATGGGGGGGGGACATTCCCAACCTGTACCATTACTTTATTTTGTTTAAATCATCGCTTGCTCTAATTTTTAAAAAAGTGTTGGTGACCGGGGGGGGGGGGGTGTTGTGAGGTTAACATTTTTTCAGGACATTAAATAGGTTTAGAAACTTGTTCTCACACCATTACTTCATTACTTATATAAAAAAGTTTTAATGTATTTTCCAAATTTGGGGCCACCCTTAAAGCGCAACTTATAATTTTCCCTGAGTAATTCCATGCCATTTCAACACAAAAAAAACTGATTTGACACCCACCCTCTCCAAATTTCTTTATATTTCGCAGGCAGTTAACATTGTGTGGGAATAGTTTAAGTTCAAAATTTGAGCATCGTAGCTGCAATAGTTTTTGAGATATCGCAATTCGAAATATGGCCCGAAAAGCAAATAAGTGGGCGTGGCGTGGCCAATGCTAAATTCACCATTACCCTATTTTACATTTTGACCTGTAACTTCATATCCGTACATGGTATATCCATCAAAATTTGCACAAAGATGTATTTGTATGCGGAGATTTCACATATTGCACTTTCATCTTTGTATCTGCAACCAGTAATGTGTTATGGCACAGCAAAAAGTCTAATTATGTGTTTCTGAAGACACGAAATATATGTCATCTTTATTGGAAAAATGTTTATGGAAGCCATACAGACACAACAGTAATTTTTATTCCACATCATATCCACATGCTATTCTACTTTTAAGCAAAATTTGGTGATGGTTAGTTGCCTGCTTTAAAAAGTAGAGCCCTTTAAAATTGTCGTATTTTCTAAATAACTTTAATTAGTGCGTTTTGGGTGTTTGTTAAGAATAAAATACATTCATTGAGAAATGAGACTGCCAAATACTTTAATGTTTGATTCGATCCTTCTTTATTGATAGTGCATATTTAAAATTTGTTTTAAAAGTTTAAAATTTACATATTTATTAATAGTACATACACAAAAAGTATATCAATGGATCAAAAGTATGCAATACAATTTATTTCTTATCTACCCCTGCTCGTGAACCAATTGTACTTTCAGTGAACTCTTTTATTGTATGCTTGTAAGATGATGAAAAATGGCTTGATTTGATTGAAGAAGTTGACAATGATCAAAGAAATGCAAAAATTAATAAGGTTTATGCACCCAAAGTGCATCACAAGATCATATTTCTGGCCAGTAAGAGGATACTTGTTAGTGATTGCCCAATAATTGCGCCGTGTACTCGTGTCAGCCATACGTTTCAACGGAAACTCTTAAACATCTTTATCGAGCTTTAGTCCAACCACACTTTGATTACTGCTCGATGATTTGGTGTAACTGTGGCGAATCTTTAAGAGGCAATCTTCAGAAACTCCAAAACTGCAAAAGTTATTACAGGTGACTCATTTAAAATACGCTCCATAGATATTTTAAAGAAACTAGATTGGAAAATGTTAGGTCAAAGAATGATGGGGCAACAACTAAAATATGTATCAAAAGCACATACATGCCATTTTCACGAAAACATTTCGGACATGTCTAAACTATATAATTCAGATCGATATGAATTAAAAAATAACAAAAATAAGTTGATGTTGTTGAAGCCAAAAACAAATTCAATGAAACGAACTTTCGGTTATGCTGCCGCTAAAATTTGGAATGAAAGAAATAAAATTTTTATATAATTTTATCTGGGTGGGGTTGGAGTGAATAATAAACTTTGAATGTCTTTGTAATATTATTTGGGTGGTTCGGGGAGGGTGGGTGCATGGGAATCTCTTATACTGTCTGTAAGTACACGGCCTAGTGAAAAGTAACGACAACCTTCCTAATATTTTTTTAGTTGATTAGCTACCGTGTTACAAGATGTTTTTATTAAAAAAATTAATAAAAAATTATAATCGGAATTGGACCGATTTTTGCTTATCGGTAGACAATCGGAATCAGTAGAATAATTTGTATTTTCCGATTGTGTAAAACCGATTGCCGAGAAAATACGCACCTTAAAAATCATATATATTGCGCGGTGATACACGTTGAATGCACTTTTTTATGTGAAAACAACAACTGTTTAATCTCTTGCACAAACGGTAGTGTGTTGCTTAGTAGGTGTGGAGCAAACCATTGCCGAGACGAAATGATATGTGAAGCGTGCCATTTATGTACAGGTTTAACACACTTTGGTTGCTACTAGTAACATGTTACGTTGGAAATTATCATTAAAATCTCGAAATGGATTGCAATTATGACGTCATAGAAAATCAGAATCGGGTATATTATTGGATGAATAATTGATAATTGGTCAATCACTAATACTTGTTGGGTTTCGGATGAGAACATTGTTTCTGACATTGGTGTTCCGAACAATAGTCACTGGGAGGCAGTACAAACTGCAGCTTAAAGACCAAGAAGTCTTACGCACTTCTCTATATATACTGCATCGATTTTGATCAAAGGCAATTTGATACAAGAAATAACACTTACTCTTGGAGAACATAATGTACTATTAAAAAAGAATGATAGAATCAAACATTAAAGTATTTGGCAGTCTCATTTCTCAATGAATGTATTTTATTCTTAACAAACACCCAAAACGTACTATTAAAGTTATTTAGAAAATACGACAATTTTAAAGGGCTCTACTTTTTAAAGCAGGCAACTAACCATCACCAAATTTTGCTTAAAAGTAGAATAGCATGTGGATATGATGTGGAATAAAAATTACTGTTGTGTCTGTATGGCTTCCATAAAAATTTTTCCAATAAAGATGACGTATATTTCGTGTCTTCAGAAACACATAATTAGACTTTTTGCTGTGTCATAACACATTACTGGTTGCAGATACAAAGATGAAAGTGCAATATTTGAAATCTCCGCATACAAATACATCTTTGTGCAAATTTTGATGGACATACCACGTGCGGGTATGAAGTTACAGGTCAAAATGTAAAATAGAGTAATGGTGAATTTAGCGTTGGCCACGCCCACTTATTTGCTTTTCGAGCCATATTTCGAATTGCGATATCTCAAAAACTATTGCAGCTACGATGCTCAAATTTTGAACTTAAACTTTTCCCACACAATGTTAACTGCCTGCGAAATATAAAGAAATTTGGAGAGGGTGGGTGTCATGCCTGTGTTGAAATGGCATGGAATTACTCCCCTATTGAAAAGTCTCTGCATGAATTTTTTTTTTAATTTTTTCGTGCTCGCAATTTTTTCTGTTTCCCTGCTCGACTTTTATTTTTGCTTTTGCCCCCCCCCCCAAAAAAAATCACGTTTTGAATGACCCACCCCTTAATACATGTTTTAATTACATCTTGCCAGCAATGCTGAGTTGTAGAATTTCTTAATAAGTGGTGTAATTATAGTTCTTGGTGTGTTATTTAGGATAAGTGGATTGCATTATTATACCATGTGTGCAACGTGCACAAATGGCTAGAAGGAGAATGTGATCACGAGGAGGACGATCATGATGAAACTCTGCCGTGGTTTGACCGTTGTGACAGAGACTTCATTGGACTTCAGAAAATCGTTCTCAACCCAGAATTGCTTGCAAGCTTCCAGTATTACACACGATTCAGGTAAATAGTTGTTGTACAATTAAGATTTTAGGCATTTTCTATTGGGGATTAAATTTCTGATATAATTGTATTCATCAGAATAAAACCCAATTGACAAGGCAGCCATAACCTTTTAGCTGGGTAAATACTGTATAATGCAATTATGTTGATTCTCTATTTGCAGGCACACTGGTAGCATTGAATGTGCCAACAGTCTAAGCTTGGTATACACACCAAAGCGAATGCCATTCAGGTTGGTGTATCCATAGTTGTGTACTATGTTGTTGTATGTCATTTTGTGTATTCCTATCACAATATTTTTTCATTACTGAATGCTGGAAATAAGTTGCTCTAAGAGTCTAAATCTAAACTTTAGATACAATGCATATAAAGCCAGGAAACAGTTGACAGCAATTGACTGGAATTATCATGTTAGTCTTCCCCAAGCAACGACCAAGTTGGGGGAAGAGCGAATAACAAGAAAGTACAACCCGAGAACCAGGCAATGGGATGTAAAGATTGTAAAGGTTGAAAAGGGTTATGAGTATGTTCCAGTGCTCATATCCAGAATGTTAAACAGAAGAATATGTGATGCAGACGGTGTGACAAGACACATTTCTTTAAACGATAGCAACCCTGTCCTTATCTCCCCAACCATAGCCCACATTCCTCCTCCTGCAACAAAGGAAATTGTCCAAAGAAAGAGCAGATTTGCAAGTGACGACAAATCATCAAAATGAAACTACAACATTATTAGCCAGTGAACCATATATATTACCCAAATATTTTTACTACATATATTTACATTTAACTTAACTATTATAGTACAAGACCCTGCATATAAGAACTTGTGTTTTTCAAGTTAGCCTAAACAGGTTATTATATAAATGGTGCTTATCATGAAATAAGGGTAAAGTAAACAGGTTCTTATTTTATAAAGAAAAAGCACCTCAAGGTACAGTTGTGGGTACAGGTTAATTTTTGTTGGTGTGTTCAAACAGACATGCTGTTTATTATGTTTGTGTGATGTTACTCTGAGTGTATATCCACACCCGGCAGGCTTGAAAAATATGCCTGGCCACAGAATCGAATCCCACCATGGCCAGTCATATTTTTCAAGCCTGCCCGGTGTGGTATACACTCAGAGTAACATCAGACAAACATCTTATTCACCTGAGTACATCACAACAGCAGATTTCATGCTAAGTTCTTTGAATGTTTGCATGGTGATAAAATATAATTGTTTTTGTTTGTGGAAACACCACGTAAATTTGTTACTGCAAAGCTTTCGATCCGTAAGCCCGGATCTTCATCAGTGCTAATAATATGTCATATTATTAGCACTGATGAAGATCCGGGCTTACGGATCGAAAGCTTTGCAGTAATAAATTTACGTGGTGTTTCCACAAACAAAAACAATTAGATTTCATGCTGTTTATTGTTATGACATATCCAGAACTCTGACTCATTTTCATTACTGTGTGAAGAGTTTATTTTCTTTGATGTTTAAATTTTTACTCTTATGAGCTAGTGATAAAAACAAAGTAAGCATCTGCTTGAAACTTTAGCCTACAGGTTCTTATATAAAGGGGGTCTAAATAAGCAAATTTAACATAACAGGTTCTTAAAATCTACTGTACATAGGTTCTCATATGTGGGTTCTTGCTGTATTAAAAAATTAATGGTCTCTATATCCCATGTAAACACCAGTAACTGATGGGTACTGTTCTCTAATTTTTAAAACCACACAGGATGGACAAATTCGTCTATTCCCTTTGCCTAGAAAGCCATGGCGTGCTAAAATAAACTGTCTATAACCAGCTTTGTGAAATGCTCTTGTGCTGTTGTCCTCTCTATCATTACGGATGTCACTCCTATTGCGGATACAAAGCTCCAGCACATCTGGATCAAGGCATAATTTTGCAAAACGGGAAGTTGAGGTTATGCATTTCTTTTGCATACAACATTTATTCTCAACCTCTTGTGGCATTGGTCTGCATTTGCCACATGTGCACCAATCTGGCACTGATTCAAGTGTGGGTTCTGGTGTTGGATTTGGGTCTTGAGGGTGGGAAGGACTCTGAGAAGGGTCTGTACCAGAGTTTAATGGATTATCATTGGATGATTCACCAAATGCAGCTAACCTTTCTGCATCCTGTTCATCTTCATCAAGGTCATCCTCCATTATCATTAGTGTGTCGATGTAGTCAATACTACCAATACCTCTGCGTAAACTACGAATAGCTAGCTTTTTCACCGTATTGGCGTCTAGTGTAGATATCAATTTCTAAAATAAATACAGTGCTGTCAGTAGAACAAGATTTAATAGTTATCAATGCAAAACCCTGACAAGACATTGTATACTGTATATGTCATGCTACTAGATATGTGTAATATGAAATCATCAATTGTTCTTTTATAATATTAAAATATTATTTTAAAGTGAAGTACATACCTTCACATTTTCGTGTTCTTTTTCCCTTTGCATGTCCTCCGACTCTGTAGTGGCGTGAGTAAGGCGAAAACCTTGTCTTGGATTTCCTGCTGTTTTGCGTTTTAATTGTCTTTCAGGAATAGCGGCTCTTCCCTATACCAAAGTCAGACAAATTATTTATTTTAATTCCTGAAATATAAACAAAGTTGTGAACATATAAAAGTTTAGATTGCTTTATCTTATTTTGGCAAGGTTTTGCACGCGTGCCACAATGACATTCTGCCGAACACACTACATTTCCACCTTTACACGGACAACCTCGGGTTCCATTTGGCTTTCTTTTAGTGCTGCAAAACTCTTACAATCACAACGACTTCCCTATGTAAACGGATATATCATTGTTCAATTGGATTCGTATTGCTTTACAAAAAAATATGTAAAATATGCATATTTTGACTTACCTCAGAATTCATTATACAGCTTCGAAACAATGGCGGATTATGTCGTCCGAGCAATTTCCGACAGTTTCCGAACCCGTTTTTGTTATGCGCAGCAGGGGTGCGCACAATGTGACACTGCTCCTTTAAGGTAATTCCGCAGTTTTTTGCATTGCGCACTTTTACTGCGCACATCCTATGACAATTTTATGTTACTTCAAAACATCTTTGGTTACATTTGTGCAAAGAATTACGTTAAAATCAATGTTTTCAAAAAAGGCATACAAAAGTGTAGCTAGGGTTCCTGTGTCTGTAGTAAATGCACAATTCCCTAAAAAGATCGGTGACCCCCGTTTTCTAACTGATAATTTATTTCTTTAATGTATTTTACATTTCATATCCGAAATAAAAAGAAAAATCATTTCTGGATCTTGAAAAAAAATCCTTTATCAATGCATGTTCTGAAAGAAAGATATGTAGAGAAATGTGGAAAAGACATTTGTGGATCAGAATTGTACACGTTAGTAGTTTCATTTTGCTCAAAACACAACATTTTTTTAAAAGTAATTACAAGATGGGTTTACTAAACCAAAATCCGCGCTAAAAACGTCAATAAATATCGGGCTGTTGTGATTTTTCTGTTACTCGCAACGAGCGTCAAGATGGCGCCATATTGGAGTAAAGGTGGTATATTGTGATCGTCATATCTTCTTAACGGGTTCGGTGGCCCCGACTTTTTTGTGTGATTTTACTTTAAGTATATCATAAACTTCATGCCTGCATGGGAAGTTTCAGCACATTCAGGAGATTCAAAAGGCGTATAGTGGCCCACTTTTTGGCACTTATTTTCAATACTTCTCTAAATAATTGCATTTTCCCAGACGATCTTAAAACGGCAAAGATTTCTCCAATATATAAGTATGGAAATAAGAAAGCGCGGGGTAATTACCGGCCTATTTCTGTACTTTCAGTTATTGCAAAATTATTTGAGAAACTTGCCTGCGAGCAACTCAATCTATTTCTGGAAGAAAATAAGATTTTAAGTTCATGTCATTCTAGTTTTCGCAAAGGTCATTCCACCACATCTGCTCTTTTAGAAAATACTGATTCGTGGCTACTGAATATGGATGCTGGTAGGATAAACGGGGTGCTTTTTCTTGATTTATGCAAGGCATTCGACACTGTCGATCATGCCATCCTCATAAAAAAAGTTATGTAATTACGAGATACAAGACAAGGTACTAGAATGGTTTAAATAATATTTGTTTAACAGGGAACAATACTGTAAGGTAAATAGAGCAACATCGTCCCCTTGGAAGTTAAATTGCGGGGTTCCACAGGGGTCAAACCTTGGCCCTCTTTTATTTTTGATATATGTTAATGATCTTCCAAACTGTTTGGAAAATTCACATGCCGCAATGTATGTAGCCTGCGAACAGGCTCTCTTTGAACTCTCTTTGAAATTTGAGAGAGAGCCTGCAGGCCTAGCTAATAAAAACGCGTCGATCTGTGCGTTTCTTAGTACGACACAGGGTTCCCATTGGTTGAAATTGAATTAACTACATTATACTGCCATAAAAGGTAATTAAATTTACACAACAAGATTCAAATAAACAATATCGTTCTATAGCGACGAGTCGTATAGAAAACTAAATCTTCGTTTAAAGTTACAGTAAAGGATGGGCAGTCAAAAGCTCTTAACAAAATTCTAGACGGAAACGATGTTTTTGCTGTATAAGAGAGTTTGGCAAATATAACGGCAACTGCTTATATCAACAATAGCATCTTTACTCTAAGACAAAGGCGACTATAATTTGCATTCTTGAGCATTCTAGTACGCCGTAGTTGTTCAAACTCAAGTCGTTGCGGTGTTTATGTGAATTCACTTACTATTGCTACTTCAGGGAATTTCAGGGTTGTTTGAAAGAAAGACAAATGCTTGTAATGTTGTAAACAATCATGCGTTGAAATCGAGATATGCGTTTTGTTTACATATATTCGCCAATCTCGTTCCCCGAGCATGCCCGTTCGCAGGTTAAGGGTGGGCATAGCCCATAGACGTATTCTTATTGACTAAACCGGCAGGCTCTAATTCAATTCAAGAGCCTGTTCGCAGGCTACAATGTATGCTGATGACACAAATATAACTGTTGGTTCAGATGGTCTTAATAATTTGGAAAAAACCCTCGATGGCTCGTCTCAAACAAATTAACATTAAACGTAGAAAAAACAGAGTATGTGGTCATTGGAACTCACAAAAGATTGAGTAGTTTTTCGCAAGATATCACTTTGTCCATTGATGGCAAAGTAATTAAACAAGTAAACTCAAAGAAAACTTTGGGCGTTATAATTGATGAAAATTTATGCTGGGACAAGCAAATTGAGAACATTCAATTGGAACTCTTACTTATCTCTATCAAGCTTTAGTTCAACCACATTTTGATTACTGTTCAATGGTTTGGGGTAACTGTGGCAAAACCTTAAAAGGGATGTTACAGAGACTCCAAAACCGAGCGGCAAGGGTTATTTCAGGCGACTCATATGAAGTACGCTTCCTTGACATTTTGAGTAAACTGAACTGGAAAACGTTAGAAGAAAGGCGAAATGAGCAGCAATTAAAATGTGTATCTAAGGCTCTTACATGCCAATGCCCTGAAAACATTTCGAACATGTTTACAATGTCCAATTCTGAACGATACGACTTAAGAAGCAACAATAGTAAGCTTGTACTAGCGAAACCAAAAACTAATTCTTTGAAAAGAACATTCAGATATGCTGCTGCTAAAGTCTGGAACCAAAGTGTCAGTTAAATTAGTAGTAACTGTATCTTTTACACTTTTTGGGAGGGCTTCACTGGGGGGAGGAGGGGTAGTCAGTTAAATAAATAGTAACTGTATCTTTTTCACTTTTTGGGAGGGGTTCACTGGGGGGAGGAGGGGGAGTTGTAGTTTGTGTGCATCACGGCCTAATGAAAAGCAACCTTTCGATTTGTAAATATTTTAATACTGGTTGATTAGTCACCGTGTTTAAAGATGTTTTTAATAATAATAATAATAATAATAATTCTCATTTCGGGAACAATTACTGCGGAATTACCTTAAAGCAAAACCTAGTAAAGGATACTCCTAAAATGTGACTATTTTCCCAGTATAGCATTACAAAAAGCCTTACTGTAATCGGTAATTAAAAACTCCTTCACATAAAACAACTTGCAGTGCGCTAAAACAATGGTCTTAATTAACTCTTAAGCCAAAAGCATGGCCATGGGCTTTGTGACGTACTGCGTGGAAAAGCTGGCGTACATTGTCATTGAATTTCTTTTCCCGCAAGATATTGGACAACATGTTATGGTTCTTAATTATAATGCCTGACAACTTTGTTTTGATTATTAATTCAAATGAAGATTTGTTGTTCGTTCTTTTACCAAAAGTAATTCTAACCGGTCAAAATGACCGGCAAGGTAAGAATTTGATCGGATAATTCCACATTCTGACCGGACATTGTCCGTTGACCGGCCGTTATTTCGCGCCCTGACATTGGGCAAAACATGAAATGGGCATAGCAAATAACTTGCCCACAAGTCGATCTCGAATAGCGAGCGGTGAGCAGCGAAGCCGCGACTTACGAACCGCGAAAAAAAACTGGAAAGGACTTTGGGAAAGTCTAATAGCAAATCAGAAGAGAGCCATAAATTTAGTGACCAGAACTTTTCTTTTCATTGTTTCAGAAATGTGACATTTGCTGATCTAGTTTGGGAAATGAGTGAACTGGGCTCTGATCTGCCATTCATCAGTTCCTCTACAGGCCTGGTTTCCCAATTCTCCCATATCCATAGGCGTACAGGCAGACAAAAATTTGCAACACGTTGATGGGGGGTCACCGTCAGCAACATTTTGGCAATGCTACCTTTTTCGACTACCGTATTCACTCGTTTAAGCGCCCCCGATTGACGCCTCATTACTAAAGAGCGCCGCCCTCGAATAAGTAACGCGATTATTGACAACAATGCAGCGCTTCACCGAAGCACCACCTCAAAAATTGTTTGGTATCACTTACAAATAAAATATTTTATAAGGAAAGCGCCGCCCTCAAATAAGCGCTGCATCCGATTTTTAAGGTGAATTTCACAATTTTTAAGTAAAATCCACAGGCTGATTTTTAAGTAGAATTGCCTTTTTGTAAGTAGAGTCTGCCCGACTTATTAGGGGCTTTGGCTAATACCATGATGTAGCTTAAGAATCTAGGACTCCTAAATTATAGGCAGCAAAAATGGGGAAGGAAAAGAAATCTGGCTACTCATGAAGCTGTGAATTCGCAATTATCTACCCATAAGTTCATAACCGATCATGCTATTAATCAAAATTCAATGCCTATTGTACCTAGTTAGACTTGTCCACAAGTCGATCGCGAGGACCTACTCAGCATAATCTACATAATAGAGCGTTTGCACATGACGTCACAGCCGCCATGTTGGTGTTCCAATTCGAACAAAAGAATTTTAATTATACTCTTTTGTTTGTGTGATGTTACTCTGAGTGTATATCCACACCGGGCAGGTTTGAAAAATATGCCTGGCCACGGTGGGATTCGAACCTACGACCTTTGGAATACTAGCCCAATGCTCTTCCAACTGAGCTACGCGGTCAGGTCGGTTCGAGTATGCGATATTTCGGAACTGAGTCTAGTTCCTTCGATATCAGTATAATCTAATAATACTCTTTTGTCTGAAACACCAACATGGCCGTCATAGGTTTTGTTGAGTTGCTCCCTGGGGAATGAGTTAGTGCAAACGCTCTATAAGGATTTTATTCCTGTACGCTGTTGTTCACGTGTTGACCGAAAGCGCTATTATGCTCGGTTATCTGCTGACCATGAATGCACTGTGATCTCTTTTGGGAAAATGCTAATTGTGGCTATTAGGCATTACAGAACCTGACGGTGATGCTCGCGACGATCGGACGACTGCCGACCCAACCTCGTACCCAGGGCTAGCCGCGAGTCGACGTCGCTGCCTTCAACTCGCGGTTAGCCCTGGGTATAAGGACACAAGGTTGACGACGCCATTCTTTCGCTGATTTACATCCGTCTTCGAAGGACCATAATTTTGAAATAGATTGGAGTTCATTTGAGCATCTAGACACTTGTGATAAAAATTGTGAATTATTTTCTGACATTATCTCCACCGGGGAGAACTTTATTATGCCGGAACGGAAAGTTAAATTTCACACTAATGATGCACCATGGGTTACTGAAGATTTTAAACGATTGATAATATTGCGCCAACGTGCCTTTTCATCCAGAAACTTACAGTAGTTTACATTGTACCGCAATAAAGCGAATAGAGAGAGGAAACTGTCACGAGCAAAATTTTTGCTACGAAGGTCAGTAACTTAAAAAAATCAAAACCCAAGACATGGTGGTCTGACATCAAACGTGTCAGCGGAATGAAAAGCTGCAAAAGCGATCTTCAATCCCAACTTCAAATAGAAAAAAATTGATCACCTATCGTCGAAAGAACTTTCCAATTTAATTAACAGCACCATTCTGGAACCTATGAGCACATACCACCTTGCGTGATGAAGATCTATCCAACTTACATCAAGCTAAAACATTCCCACCGACCCTCCATCTGTAGTTAAAACTATAACTTCTCCGGCATCAGTGTTAACAAAGCTAAAGAACCTGAACGCGTCCAAAGCACCAGGACCTGATGGTATTCCAAACTGGATTTTAAAAACTTATGGGGAGATTCTAGCATCCCCGATATCCAACTTGTTTAATACGTCTTACCAGGAAGAATCCTATCGTCTGGAAAAGAGCAAATATCACTCCTATCCCAAAAGAAAAACCTGTGCGTGAAATTAATAAATATCTGAGGCCAATTTCGCTTACTTTAGCAGTATCTTAATTGGCCGAGGTTTCTGATAGTCGAGAAATACGTCGCCCCAGCTGTTTTATCTATAGCTCATCCAGCACAATTTGGGCGGGCATTCCGCGCTCATCGGCAATTCACGCGCTAATCTCGATGGTGCACAAGTGGTCGGAGGCAATGGTCGGAGGCTACTGATGGAACTGGACTGTCAGAACTGTGTTATTCGATTGCCGTAAAGCATTCGATCTCGTTGACCACCTCATTTTGGCAACAAAAGTTATCCAACTATCTGTTCTATATTTTGTACTGGAAGTGGATTTTAGACTTTTTATCAAACAGACTTCAACGGGTAAACTGTGGAATGACTGTTTCTCGGAGTGGGGCGGTGTACCCTCTGGTGTACCTCAGGGAACAAAACTAGGCCTTTGGCTCTTCATTCTTATGATTAATGATCTAAGAACTCCAGAGAGCGATTGTTGGAAACACATCGACGACACCACAATTTCTGAAGTTGTAAGCAAAAGCAACACAAGCACGATGCAAAATTCCGTCGAAGTCGTACAAAATTGATCTATCACAAACAAGCTACAACTCCATGACTCCAAGTGTAAAGAACTAAGGTTTTGTTTTACAAGATCTGATCACGCTTCGCTACATGAGTGTCGTAGTCTGCGGTAACCAACTTGAAGTTGTCACCCACGCTAGGATTCTTGGTCTGACTATTAGCAGCGATTTGAAGTGGAATAAACATATTCTTAACACTATCAAGAAGGCGCGAACAAGCGGTTATACTTCATTGTCCAACTGAAACGTGCAAAGGTTCCAACTGCAGATATTCTTAACTTTTATTGCGCCTGTATTAGGCAAGTTTCGGAATATTGCTGCCTAGTGTACCACTATAGGCACTATGGGTTACCATGCTATCTTTTAAACGCCATTGAACGGGTGCAAAAACGTGTTATGTCTATCATATATCCTAATTTAAGTTATGACGATAGCCTAACTCTTAGTGGCATTTCTAAACTTAGTAGTAGACGCGAAGAAGCATGTATCAAACTTTTTAACGAAATAGTTAACATTCCTGATCACAAGTTGGTATATCTCTTGCCCCCTAAACAGGAAACAAAGTATGACCTGAGGCAATCTCGTGTTTTTACGGACAAAACTGTGAACACAAATAGATTTTTAAACACTTTTATTCCTTCGTCGGTTAAAACTTTTAATATAGCTAACTGTAAATAGATTTCAATTGATTTCTATTCTATTTTAATAGATGCGATTGTTAACTTGTCTTAACTGCCTAGCAGGCAGTCGTTTATTATACCACAGAAAACGAGCACAGAGGTAAAATATATATTGCTTTTCACACAAACATGTGTTCTATAAGAGAGAGCTAACTTACATGCGTTTACTAAATTATGCTAATCTTAATCAAAGTGCTTTATGTAGTATACATAACACGTGTCCACATGCAAGTGTAACAGTTCCTTGGTCAGGTTTGTCTAGTTGCCTCTGATTTCTCACAGTCAGCATTCAGAATCAGTGCAGCTTAGCGTGTGACATGAGTTGGAATGATGCTTGCCAATTAATAAAAAATGGAGTCTTCAAAACCCAGAACCCCTTCTCCCACAAAAAATAAATTGTGTCTGACATGTGTTTTTCAAGTAAAAAGTTATTATCAAGAACTTGGTCTTGGATCATTAATGATTCTTCTATTTGTAAATGCAAAACCATACTCAACACGCGTTAAAATCAGATTTTGTTGCAAGTTGCAGCAATTTTGTTGCTCGTGTAACTCCAGCTTTAGCCAATTTTTGTATATTTTGCACGACGTCAAAAAAGGGTCGTATTATAAATAACTTTCAGATATTAAACTTGACTAACACCTTAAAACATTTGAGGAATATTGGGTTCGTCAGTTTTTATATCAGCCGTTTCGGGCATGAAAATTAACTCATTATCCGCGAAATGATTTCTAAAAATCGTACGAAAAGCAAATTGCAGCAGATTCTTAGTAATTTTTCCTTTGTAGGAACACCAAATGGGTTGATTGGAGGAATTAAAAAAAATTCGAATATTACCATTTGGCTTGAGATTCTCGGTTTTCACAGGCAGGCGCTCTTATTCAATTACACCATGAGCTCGAGTCGTATATGAGCGGATAGCCGACGAGATGCGATTAAGGGTGAAGTGGACTGGGACACAGGCTACGATTAAGGTGGCTCCATACAGTTTCTTGGAAAGTGGAAAAGACACATTTCAGACTAGCCTGCGAACAGGCTCTCAAGCTGAATTGAGAGCCTGCATCGATGACTAATGAATTTGAATATCTGCCCCGTAACGTTCGTTTTTCCAAATATGGAATGTCTATCCTTATATGGTGTTGTTTACAACTTTCGTGCAAACTAAATTTAGACCGTGCAAACTAAATTTAGCCTGAGTGTCAGACGAATAACGAATTAACTAAATTTAGATCGTACAGTTTATACTGTTTTTCGAAATATAAGATATTCAAGCAAAAGTTCAAATGTTTTAAATACTGTTTTCTCAAAACAGAACATTTCGTGCTTTGAGATAATACGGCCAAGACCAATTTGACCAGTTAATGTGTTTTTTATGCACAGTGCTTCAGCAGTTGACATATATAGAGCTCAGCGGAAACATATAAATTATAGCATCTGACCAATGAGAATTTCGCGTCACGATTTGAGACGCAGATATTCAAATTCATTAGTCATCGATGCAGGCTCTCAATTCAGCTTGAGAGCCTGTTCGCAGGCTAATTTCAGACCAAAAAGTTTTGTACATTTATATTTTTATAGAAGAATGAAACTAGATGTCTTGCATAGAACAGTATTTTGAGAATCAGAAACTGTAACGGTTACTGGTTTAATTCAAAAACAACGTGACCACCAATTTTTATTTTATTAAAAGTTGTTTTCTTTTATGAGCAATCATTAGGACAACCTTTAAAAATTTTGTCCATCCAAAATTTTTCAAATCGAAAAACGTGCTTATTCCCGACAAAAATTTTTTTGATCTACAGAATTTTTTAAAAATCGTCCTAATGATTTGCTCATACTAGAAAAAAACTTTTAATAAAACATTTTCGAATTAAACTATGCAAATTAGCAGCCGTTTTGAAACATTGTTGCCATAGTAACTACAGTTACGGACTTTTCCGTTACAGTTTCTAATTCTCAAAGTACTGTTCTATACACCCTTTTCATAAATGGCTGCCGATTAAAAATTATTTTATGTGCATATAAATTGGCCCAACTAGCCTCGTTTCTGGGTAGAAATTCCTTTGAAATCTTAACATGAGTACGAGGCTAGTTGGGCCAATTTATGAAACATTTATGAAAAGGGTGTATACAAGAGATCTGGTTTCATTCTTCTATAAAAATATCAATGTACAATATTTTTTGGTCGGAAATGTGTCTTTCCACTTTTCAAGAAATTGTATGTTGCCACCTTAAAAAATATTTATTTAAATTTTTTTTTATCTATATTATAGTGTTTAAAATTGTCATTTTGTTGAAACTAAACAACAGCTACTGTACGTGTTCTTGCAATTTCCCAGTCTGTCAAATAAATTAACTTGTCTGTTTCTTTCGCAACACATTGTTTCTTTATTATTTTTCTCGCCCCTTGAAGGGAAAGGAAAGCAGATTTTACGAATCAAAACGATATCATTGCATTTATCCATTATCCAAGCCATTGTCTTTGGGTACTTCAACGGTGTAAATTTTTCCTGTTATATGTCCGCAGACCGCAATTACTGGTTGGTCACACATACATTTCTTCTCATTTTCATACATAGGCTACGACTGATTTGGGGGTTAACTGAAAAATCACGTGCACGTGCGTCTAATCTGGCGTTTCCTGTGGAGCTGATGCTTCAGAGCTGTACTTTTCCATCATATGGAAGTTCATGAACCTCTACCAATGGCGCTGTTACCTTTCTAAATTTGATAGGAATGCTGAAAGATGGCAATAATGGCCAAATCATGCGGCTAAATATTAAAAATCAAGGGCGAGAAACAGGAAACCAAATGCTAAGGAGTTTCATTTCTTAGAACTCTCAACAGCAGAAAGATCTGTCAATAGACCTACAATAAGGACAAATTGCCTTCCACGTGATTAGTCAGTCATTATCAAAATGTTATTTAACTGATTGAAATATATATTGGGGTTTCAAGGGAACTGGTTTCAAAGTAACTGATTTACGAATTTCAATCGGTAGAGTGTGGGATCCATAGTTGCACAATGCGATTAAAGAAGTAGTCTCTAAATGACGATGTACGACAACAATGAACTAGTCCTGAATATAGGTCCAAACTTTCGGGATAGCTCCTGGCTCTGCCACTTAAGAGTCCGTCTCTGTAATTTCCGACCACTCGATACTGGTTCAAAAATAAACCTAGCCTTAAACTTTGTGTGTGGATTAAGAAACCCTTGCTTATCATCAATACAAAAGGGGTTTGTTTCAAATTTCAAAAGATTTCGATATTTGGGCAATTTTACGTGTGTACGTCGAAGCACGAAATTAGCATCGCTGCAACACACAAAAATTAGTCATCTTTGTCACGTTCTCGCGCTCTCAAAAATGATTCAATCCGAGATATACTCTGCAGGCCTGCAGTTTATTACACTAGCTCAGCATTTATGAACTCAAACTTTGGATGTCTTAAAACAACTTGGAGATAGTGCCGACTATAAATACGCGGCTAATCGACCGGGTGAAAAAGTAGCATTTCTAAATATATATTTTCTCCATACTGGCACAACTCTACTTATCAAGAGTTGTACACGCTTAATAATTACGAATAACAGCACTAGTTTCCGTAAAAACATCCATGGCTATCATCACTGGGACAAAATAAAACAAATTCAGGCTTTCTTGTGGTCCTACTTTTCCTACTTTTTCCTACTTTTTTTTAACTTTCCTACTTTTCCTACTTATTCTTAAAAATTGCTTGATTTTCCTACTTTTTCCTACTTTTTCTCTTAAAATCCTACTTTTTTAAGTCTGTTTGGCAAAACCACAGAGTAGGTACATACAGAGGTCTCACTTCTGCTGGAAAACCGTAAGGTAGTTTTTAGAAAAATAGTTGGCAGCCATGTTCTTAGCAAGTCCGGTAAGGAGAGGCATTCACCCCCTGGAACATTAAATTTCAATATGTTTTCAGGGGGGGGGGGTGATGGGTTCTCTTTACCGGACTGGCTAAAAACACAGCGGACTGAAAAATATCCCTTACGCTAAATTCACCAGAAGTGAGACCTCTGTATTTACTTCCTCTGTGGCAAGACTCTTGACAATTCCCCCCAAATCCTAAAAAATCTACGATCCATTGAAAATCGCAAAAAATCCCCTAATGTCCTTCGAAATCACAAAAATCCCCACAAATCCATCAAGATCCAGGTTTATGAAGGGCATACTTCATGTAAGACGTTGCCACATGGATTTGGTTTGGCAAAAAATGTAATTCAGCACGTGTTCTCCAGGTAAGTGTTGTTTTTAATTCGTTTAATAACTTTTCTTATCATTTTCGTTTCGCATCAAATTCTAGAATTTGAGTGGATATAAGAATGGCGCAATTGCAAAACAACGTCGGCAAATTTGCATTGAAATTAGCATTAAAATTAATTTGCATATTCAAATATAATAAAAATATAGTAAAATAAGTTTTATTTATGATATTATATGAGCTGCAAGCTGGCTTGCTGGCCGTCCTTTTTTATTACTCAAGAGTATAGCGCGTAGTTAGTAATTCTGTCCGCAGTCACCCAAGCCAAGAAACTGATCGCAGGGATTATAAATTTTTGTATGACACCGTCACCGCTCATCATTCATCAATCAATTTTTTAGCAAATATGTATTTAGTAACAATTGCCAACTTGCAAAATGTAACTGGCTAAACCAGTGGGTTAAACGTACAGTTTCTTGAAAGAGCAACGATTCCTTGTAACTTATTTATTTTTGGTGAAAATAAACCGTCATGAATGAATTTTTATTATTAATGTACACATTGCATTTAAGATTTAATTATTATTATTAATGTACACATTAGATTTCAGATGTACACATTGCATTTAAGATTTTAAGATCCCTATCTTTTGTGTGACTGCCTATATGTAGATAATCAGAATTGGTGCTACAAATTTTTCTCTTGTTTTAACAGCTTTGTCTGATAAAAGAAAGTTAAAAGTCTTATCTAATATTAGTGAATAATGCCAAATCTAACCAAATTTCAAGAATCCTGGTTACGTAAAACCGATAGTGCTGGGAACCAAGTGAAGCAATGGTGTCGTGCAGACAACACTTCACCTCATAAAGCCTTTTGCATGTTGTGCTGCAAGTCAATACAGTGCAGTAATTCAGGATTTAAACAACTCCTTCATCATGCTGAAGGAAAAAGGCATTCTGATTTAGCAGTTGCACGATTTGGAAAAACCCAAAAACACCTGGAAAAAGGAGCGACATCTACCAGACCATCGAGTAGCAGTCCACCTTTACACAATGAAGCATCTACATCAAGTACATCAGCATCTACATCAAGTACATCAGCACCTACATCAAGTACATCATATGTGATACAAAGTCCTAGTCTTCAGGAGAAAATTGCCTCTGCAGAAATTCTGTGGGCCCTAAAAGTTGCTCAGAGTAACTATAGCTATTCATCATGTGATGCAACACCTGCTCTTTTCAAGAGAATGTTCCCTGGTGATGTTGCTGAACATTTTTCAATGAGCAAATCCAAAGTATCGTATCTTCTTTCGGATGGCTTGGGACCGCATTTCAGGCGAGAGATGTGTGCTTCAATCTGCGAAACAAAGAGTGTGTTTACGTTGCAATATGACGAAACCGCGAATACACAGAACCGCAAGCAGTGTGATTTGCTTCTGCGATACTGGTCTGAAGCTGCTGGTGAAATTCGTGTGCAGTTCTTGAAGGCACTGATGTTTGGACATGCCAAAGGGAAAGATGTTTCCTTGGCTATATTGGAGACATTGCAGGAGGAAGGCTATCAGTTGCCATTAGCACAGCTGATTAGCCTAGGATCGGATGGCCCTAATGTTAATAAAACAATTTGGAATTTGATCAATGAACACATGAAGACCAATGGCCTGCATGGAATTCTCCCTTTTATTCCGTGTAACTTGCACATCGTTCACAATGCATTCAGACAAGGTCTGAATATATTTGGAGAACAAGCGGAACAGCTTGTTCTAGATCTTTTCTTTTTCTTGAAGGCATCGCCATGTCGGAAAGAAGATTTTTTCGAAACACAGCTTGGCCTTGGTTTAGATAGTGGATTGTTTATCAAACATGTCCAGAGTCGTTGGCTTACGCTTATTCCCGCGGTTAAAAGAGTTCTGATCTGCTGGGATGCTGTCGAGAAATATTTTCTAATCGAATTGCCAAGAATTATGGCAAAAGAGAAGAAAGAAGCGTCACTGAAAAATAACGAACGATACAAGAGAATCTGTCAGAAGATTAAAAATCCAGAGATCTTTGTACAGTTGCACTTTCTTCAAAATTTAGAATCAGTATTCCATCCTTTCCTTGCCTTTTTCCAGAAGGAGGAACCACTTATCCACATCCTGTACCACAAGCTGTCGGAGCTTTTGCGCACCATCATGTTTCGTTTCCTTAAGCCTGGTGTTGTTGGAGAGAATACAGGGAAAAATCTTAAGGCGGTGGAGTTGAGCAAACCTGAGAACCAGCTGAGCGATCAGTTAATTGAAGTTGGTGAAACCACTCGCAAGAAGGCGTTGAAGAAGCTAAAGCCTGGCCAAGAAAAAGGGCTACTTCTTGATGTCAGAATGTTCTATCAGACCACCACAAAGTATTTAATGGATCGTCTTCCTATTGGTAGAGGAATTGTAAAAGATCTCTCTTGTTTGAATCCACTTCTGCAAAAAGAGTCCCAAGGAATGCAGGCAGTGCAACGAACCGCAAGAAAACTTCCTCAAATCATCACAGAGGAGGAGTTGCCTTTGCTCACTGACGAATGGAGAGTGTACCAGGCGCAGGATATACCTGAAAACTGGTATATATCAGGACGCAAAGAGGATGGAACAACGGAGTACGAGAGAGTAGACCACTATTGGCAGAAAGTTCTTGACCAAAAGAACGTTACAGGATCACCGCGCTACAAAATTCTTGCGAAGCTAGTGAAGGCAGGTTTGTGTCTTGCCCATGGTAACGCAGAGGTTGAGAGGAGCCTATCTGAGAACAAGAAGGTGGTAACTAATGAGCGCACCCTCCTTTCCGATGCATCCATCAACGCACTACGAAGTACGAAAGATGCCATCAGAGTGACAGCGTCTGGCCAAGCCCACATGATGCCTATCACCCCTGCCTTGATCCAAGCACGCCGAAATGCTAATAGTGTTTACACTGCACGTCTAGCGGAAGACAAAAAGTCGTCAGATATAGAGAAGAAGTTGAAAGACAAAAGGACAGCAGAGAAAGAGGAAATGCAGAATATTGCAAAATTGCTGGAGGTAAGGGAAAAGTGGCAACGACTTTTCTGCATTTTAATAAAGTAAAAGTGAGGTCTATTCATAATTTCATATTGTTGTGTTTAATCAGTTTATCACGAATATTAACCACAAAATATTTTAAGGCAAAAAAGAAGACCCTTGAAGAGAAAGACAGCAGCATTGCGCAGGAGCAGTTGCGGCAAGAAGAAGAGCTACGAAATGCAGAATCCCTCTACTCTGAAGCAAGCAACAGGCTACAAAATGCCATCAAAGAAAGAGACATGAATGAAATGTCGGTAGTTCAAGGCCTCATGGACGTCGCCAGTAAAAAGATGGAATCAGCCAGAAGGAAATTGGAAGACTGTCGAAAGAACCAGATTACGATTGGTAGTAAGAGAAAGAGAGTAGTTGAGAAATATTCATCTACCCTCACGAAACTTGTAAATAACACTAAGTAAAGAAAACACTTTAAAGACTTCTAAAAACTTTATATTGTTTTATTCGTTAAAGGTGGAGTAAGGCTGGCTGGTGGGGAGGAGGAGGCCACTTGTATGCATACTTTATTAATAAAAAGTGAGATAAAAATTATGAAATTTGACTTCTGTGGTATTCTTCAATATTATATATTATGCATATCAATGACCAACTATTCCTACTTTTGTCCTACTTTTTTGTATGTTTTCCTACTTTATTCCTACTTTTTCTAAAATAACAGTCCTACTTTTATCCTACTTTTTTACATATGCCTGCCAGAAAGCCTGCATCAAATGGAAAGGTTGGCCCATGACCAGCTGCACTTGGGAACCAGCTTATCATCTTACACCAGAGTTACTAAGGTAATTTGTACAGAATTTATAAGTTGCTAGGGTTCGAAGAATATTTGCATTCAAATCTGAAATTCTCGCTATTTAACTCGAAATAACTATTAATAAATTGTACATCTTAAAAATTTTGTGCAAATGTTTTTATCAATTTAAAATTTATATGCTTTATTTTATATATTAGGAGTTACCAAAATCCATTACGACCCAGTGAAGAACGGATTGCAGAAGCTGGTAAACAATTTTATTGTGGGATAATAAATGCGCTTAAAGCAAAGTCTACATCGGCCATATACATATGGATGGATCAAGATATTTGGCGCTACATTGTTCATGGCAAAGGGATACCATCGCAACACAGAGGTCATCAAATGCTCCAGAAGGATGACTTAAATAAACTTTCCCTGCCAAATCATTGGTGGTATTATTTAGACAAAAATGGTGAGGGCCAAGCCATAGATTTCCCCTTGAAAATCAAGCCAGTTCTGGGTTGGACGCCTGCTCATTACTCAGTTGTCAACTGCAACATTGAACCAGCTCCAAGAGTCCCACTTGAAAAACTATGCATAACTATTGTTAAGAAATCATGCAACATCCAAAACTTATCCAATAATTAAATGTAGTTTTACTCGGAAATTTCCAACAAAACATTTTCCAATAACTCGCGGAGTTTGTTGATATTTCTAAGACGTGTTGTAATACCCAAGCCATTCAAGTGTTGTTTGATTTCTAGTGCTGTCATTCTATCAATGTCAACACTATTCGTTTCACTTGCATTATTGGTACAGCTAGATACAACAGCCAGCCTCTGTCTTGCCCTTTTTGCTTTTATTTCATCATCCCAGTAACTCGTGTTTTTCTTTAAATATGCTGTTGCTCTTCTTTCACACTTACTGAGATTATCCATTCTTTTGCTGACTTTTAATACGTCGGCTGCCGCATTCCACTTGTTTGATTTTTGCAAGTGAAACCTGCGGCAAACATCATTATTCTTCTCAACTCCTGAAAAATATGGACAATTAATGTTTAGATTTAGATAAGGTTTGGATTCCAGTACGAAACTGCAAACGTGACCGGTGTAGATAGCGGAGTAGGGGGGGAGGCCCTTCGTTGGGTTAGATTTCAGTAAGAGTTCAGCATCAAGTTCAAAATTTAAATTGGAACAGGAGATTTTGCAGTTGCCCTGGAACTGGAATATTAGATCTATAAACCTCTCTAATTACATAGTTTGGAGTTCATCATCTCAAACTTTATGTCAACAAGCAGCAAAAGTTCTACTCACTACCTAAACGATACAAACAGATTCGACGTTCTGAGCAAAGGCTGCTCAAAACGTTGGATTTGGGGCCGCTACCTACACAGCCAAAAACGCCACAGGCTCGTTGCAACTTGTCGAATTCACCGGCTTGTTGCAACTTCTTGACAAGTTGCAACAACCTTACCAATTTCATTAACTTGCAACAACCCTGTTAAAATCAAGTTTGTTGCAACTTGTCATCTGCAGACTTGTTGCAAGTTGAAGCAACTTGCAGTTGATGAATCAATTTGCATCAAACTTGTTGACATCAAGTCCTAGCTTCTCAACAACTTGGAACAAGCTTGTTGACAACTAGCATCAGGCTTGTTATATTCAAGCTGATGCAAGCCATGTGAACGCATCCTGATACCGCTTGATAACAAGCCTGATGCAAGTTGTCATCAAGCTTGTTGCAAGTGGGGCGTTTTTGGCTATGTGGCCGTATATCAAACTTTATGCTATTCTATCATTCCACTGACTATGGTACTGGATTAAAGGTTACTGATTATATGTACTATTTTACCTTGCCCCGTAAATTTCTTAACTCCTCCGTGTTTTTGCATAAAAATGGGCATGTGGTATGTCATTACATGCATGTACGGAGTGATGTTGGTCTTCTTATACCCTTCACATTCACCAGCAAGTGAGTTGAAGAGGACTATCCAATGTTTAGCCTGCAGCAAAATATATAAAGTAATAGTATACACAGAGTTAAAGTGAAATGTAATCACAATACATTTGAATAAAAAATACCTTTTCAAAAAATGTCTGAATGTATTCATCAGATGGGTCTGATTCACCAAGCATGGTGTAAAGCTCATGAAAGTTCTGAAAATATAAGTCACTTCAACAGGTTAGTAAATTCACATCTATTCATATCAGCATTCATTTGATGATGCTGTACAGTATATTATCAGAATATTATTACCAACCTCCCAAATTTGCACAATTGTGTTACAGCTTTTTGGCTTCAAAATGTCTTTAAGCTTGGGAGGTAGTTCTTTCATGAGAATTTTTTTATCACTTCCCATCAAGCTTGTGAATTCAAAGAGACCGCTAGCTTTGCCGTCAGCATTCTTATTTCCCATATGTTAAAAGATATACCACAGCTGGCAATTGCTTGTTTTAAAGCATCCACATGTGCAGTCGTTCTTTGACATGGTGCCTTGTTAAGGTTTTCTTTGTGGTCCCAGGCAACAGCTTCATCAACCAGGTTCTTAGTTAACACATCTGCCAATTGAAAAAAATATGTGCTTGTATAAACTGACAGTAGCATCCTCTTCATTAGATTACTTCTAAAGCCATATCAAGCTGCAATACAACCAAATTTTGCACCCTACCTTATATACTGTAGCTTTTTCTAACATAATTTATTATATGCATCAATGTTCATACCTGTATAACTCTGAGCATTAGGTGTAATTCGTCTGGGACAACATGGTCCAGTGAAAT